AACATAGCTCACTTACATGAATGGCATGTTGGTGCTACCTAAGGCAGAAAACCTAACTTGCTCACCACGTGGACTTTTCTGTAGGACTGCTTGAGTATTTTCACAACATGGCAGGCACCTCGCTTCCCCCAGAGGAAGGGATCCAAAAGAGAGCGAGATGGGAGCAGTGACTATTGTGATCTCACCTCAGAAATCACACACTCTCATTGCTACAATATCCTATCGGTTACACATGTTAGTCCTGTTCAGCATGGAATGAGACATTACTGGGAAGAGAGAGTCATTGACGGCCACTTTGGAGTTATTGTTATTTTCTTTTTTATTTCTTTTCTATTAGTGAAATATGGTATATAGTTATCCTGCTTTCTTTAACTGTACTAGTAAGTTCTATTTGTAATTTTAGGTGGTTGATCTTAAAGGAAAACGTAAACATGTAAGAAATAGTCCATATTAAAATGGAACTTAGCCTATTTCATGACCCATACTAGTTTTGAGACTTTCGACATTTCTTTCATGTTTGTTCAGAGGCTTTTAAAAATATAAAGGCTTTAAAACATATTACCTTACATTCAGCACAATTATTGCTTGCTAAGGAAGATGAGGGTCAGCCCCTCTTGCACCTCATGGAGGGCAAGGGAGAAGTAATTTAGGGTGTTTGAAATCTTGAGGGAATTCCAAAACATTGTTTGTACTCGTTGGTACATCTTTGGGTTTTATCTGTTTTTTATTGCTGCTGTTGTTGTTATTGACTTGTTTGATTCCTTACATGGACATTTTATGATACTTATGAACTATGGGAGATAACTAATAAAGTGGGATGGTGCTTTGATGGAAACCAATATAGTATTACTTTTCTGTTTAAAGAATTTTAAATAAGTTCTTGAAATGTACACTTTTGAGGGAAGAATGACTTGGAAATAAAGGACATTTCAAAAGTTTCAGCTAGAAAAAAAAGAACCCCTTTTCATGGTAAATTGCCCATTTAAACCATGTTACAGACTCTGCTTCAGAAGACACATCTCAGCTCTAATAAAATGTTAATCTTTTTCGGAAGCCTTTCAAAAAGTTTTTGGAAATTTTGTAAAAAAATCCTTCCTAGAAACTATATTCTAAAATGAGAATTTAAGCCATTGTTTTAGATTTGCTTTTTGCTATAAAAAACTCAAGATTCATTATTTAAATACATGTTTCTGAGTTACTGTCTCTTAGGAAGAGTTGATGATAATGTTATCCAGTGTCAATCTTCAATATGATGTATTTTCACAGCTGCAAGCCTATTTTAAGAGACCTAGTTAAATGATCACCTCAGCCAAACCAACAAATAAGCAAGGTAGACCAATAAATCAAGACTTGACTCTGGAATCTTGTTGGATTTGTTCACTTCTTATTAGTATGAATTATTTTATGTGGAGAGTTTAATTGGAGCTCCAGTTTCCTCAGAATTTTTTCCTACTGGTAGGTGTACATAGCTTCTATTTGTTTTGACAGTGGTTCAAAACTTTAAACTATTTAATATCTAAAAAATTTTCATTAGAAGTTATTTTTTTTAAAACCCGTTAGGTTTTGTGGGTTTTTTTTTAAACCTCAAACACTTTCCAGTAGTATAATATATCTTTCTTAAACTACGAGGGGAAATACTACTTAAAAGCAGAAAATATATGATGTCAGATATTATCTCCATTTACCTTTTTTTCCCTTTTGTTTCTGGTCTAATAGTCATATTTATACTATCTTAAATATTGTTGATGCTTAAACTTTTTCTTCCTTGGCTTTCTGGATAGAGCTGATAGGAGAGTACAGTTTGATATTTAAGAGTATAGCCTTGGCCGGTGTAGCTCGGTTGGGCATCGTTCCGTGCACCGAGGTTGCAGATTTGATTCCTGGTTAGAGCTTGATCCCCAGTAGTGGGGGATGCAGAGGTAGCCAGTCGATGTTTCACTCTTACATTGATGTTCCTTTCTCTCTCCCTCTCGCTCTAAAAATCAATACAAAATCTTAAAGAAAAGGAGTATAAGCTCTGGTATAAATGCCTGGGCTTAATTTAACTTCTGTTTAGTTGTGGGACTTGGGGCATGTGCCTCTAATCTAAACCTCTGTTTCTTTATCTGTAAAATGTTGATGATAAAAGTATCTACTTTATGAGTTATTGGAAAGAGTAAATGAGATAATCAGGTCAGGCATTTAGCACAGCGATGTGTGAATATGAATTACAGCATGGAGAAATACTGCTAGAGTAGTAGAGTAAACACCTGTACACATCTCCACAAAAGCATAAAAACATTAGCAAAACTTTTCAAAATAATAATTTTTAGAACTCTGAAAATTAATGAAATACTTGTAAAGATTCAAGGAGCATTGTTCAAGAAAAATGGCTGAATCTCCTTAAGAATAGTGAACTTTGTGGGTACTTAACTTGCTTTATTGCCATCTCTTTCTTCACAGTTAGTCTTAAAAACCAACAGTCTCACAACTATGGTAACTTTGAAAGCAGAGGCTCAGCAGCCACTGGAAGAAGCTTAGTGGCCTTGAAGCTTCTCAAAAGCCCCATCCCTAGAGAATTGTCACTATTTGACTTGCAGAGCTCCGTTCTCAAGACTTGTCTTTTATTTGACCTAACTTAGAGCTTGCTCTGTACAAAGAGTTCTGTCCCTTGGGCCTTTGTTGAAAACAGTTAGTGATAATTGTTTAACATTGCAGCTGACTGAGCTGGTGATACCAGCTAGGGCTAACAAGAGGCTGACCAAAACGCTTAAAAGAAAACATTGGGCCATGAGATGTTTATAGGGGTTTTTGAAAAGCTCCAGGATATTTCTGGGAATCTAGAAAGCCACAAACATGGCAGGGCTATGTATGTGTGCAGGAAAAAGCTTAGAATTTCCTAACCTCTCATCTCTGGTTGACCTTGATGTTCTTTTTTTTTAATTAAAAAAATTAAATTACAGGTGATGTGCAGTATTATAGTAGTCTTAGATGTACAACATCATGATTAGACATTTGTATAACTTACGAAATGATCACCCCGATAAATCTAGTACCCATCTAACACCATACATAGTTATTACAATATCACTGACTACACTAGGGGCCCAGTGCATGAAATCGTGCACCTTGAAAGAACTGTGGGCTGTGAGGCTGTGGTGGGCACAGGGGTTGGTCTCGGCCCATCCTCCGCGTCCATGCCTGGTCCCTCCCGCCACACCCCCAGGTCCCCTGCTGCCGGCAGCCTTGCTCCCAAAGCCTCAGCTCCCACGCACTGATGGCACTGGCCCTCTCACACCCGCTGATGGTGTGGAGCAATTGGGGCCAGCGCCAGCAACGGGTGCAAGTGGGGCCACTGCTGTCAGTGAGTGTGAGCAGCGGCACTGCCCTGATCGCCCCTCAGGAGCAGGAGGAGGTGGAGAAACCCTCAGGGGTGATCAGGGCTGGCAGCCACTGCTCGCACCCACTGACAGTGCCAAGCAATCAGGACTGGCGCCAGGCACCAGCAGCGGGTGTGAGTGCCAGGCGGGACTGTGGTGCGTGGGAGCCAGGGGAGGTGGAGAAGCCCTGATGGGTGATCAGGGCCGGCAGCTGCTGCTCGCACCCACTGATGGCACCGAGCAATCAGGACCGGTGCCAGGCGTTGGCAGCATGTGCAAGCAGCAGCTCCAGCATCGGCAGCAGGTGCGAGCACCAGGCGGGACCGAAGCACCTGGGAGCAAAGAATTTTCAGTAACCACCAGAGGCTTGCCCTGATGACAGTGACAGGCGCCTCCCGCCTTGGTGTGGCACCTCAGTTCACCTGCTCCACCAATCCCACCGTGGCCAACGCCCATCATGTTCCACGCTCTGCTGCCTGCTGCCGACACCCACCATGTTCTGCATGCACCCCCTGGTGGTCAGTGCATGTCATAGCGACTGGCTGTTCAGTTGTTCCACCGTTCGGTCTATTTGCATATTGGCCTTTTATTATATAGGATTCCTTATGCTGTACTTTACATCCCCATGACTATTTTGTAACTACCAATTTGTACTTCTAAATCCCTTCACCTTTTGCTCCCATTTGCCCAATCCCCCCCTCCCATCTGACAACCGTCAAAATGTTCTCTGTATTTATGATTCTGTTTCTGCTCTGCTTGTTGTATTTTGTTTGTTTTATAGATTCCACATGTAAGTGAAATTGTCTGGCATTTGTCTTTCTCTGTCTGACTTATTTCAATCAACACAATACCCTCTAGATCCATCCATGTTATTGCAGATGGCCAGATTTCATTATTTTTATGGCTGAGTCCTGTTCCATTGTATATATGCTCCGCTTCTTTATCCACTCATCTATTGATGAACACTTAGATTGCTTTCATATTTTGGCTATTGTAAATAATGCTGTAATGAATATATGGGTGCATATTTCTTTTCAAATTAGTGCTTTGGGTTTCTTCAGGTAAATAGCCAGAAGTGAAATTGCTGGGTCCTTCTTTGTCTCTTTACATTCTTTATTTTAAAGTCTGTTTTGTCTGCTATAAGTATTGCTGTCACAGCTTTTTTGTTTGTTTCCATTTTTCTGAAATATCTTTTTCTATTCTTTTGCTTTCAGTCTGTTTGTCTTTCGATCTAAAGTGAGTTTCTTGTAGACATCATATGTAAGGGTCTTGTTTTGTTATCTATTCAGCCACCATATGTCTTTTGATTAGAGCATTTCATCTGTTTGCATTTAAAGTTAATAGATATGTACTTATTATCATTTTATTATTAATATTTTTTACCTTTTTAAAATCTTCTTAAAGAAGACTCTAACATTTCTTGTAATACTGATTTGGTGGTGATGAACTCCTCTAGTTTTTTCTTGTCTGGGAAGCTCTTTATCTTTATCATTCTAAATGATAGCTTTAAAATCTTACTGAATAGTTTTTATGGCTTAATCAAATTGAGTATATTTTGATGTTAGTGAGATCTGGTTTTCTATTGTTCATAGTATTTTTCCTATATCATTGCAGTCTGTTCTAACCCACTGTAATGCTTAGCTTGCAGAACACAGAGAAGTCCGGCATTCTTACAGTCTGGAGTCTCTTTGCCACTGCCCTTTTTATGAAGAAGCCATGCATTTAGTTGAAGAAGGAAAAATTTACTCAAGAGTGCTGAGGTACCACTTCAGTTTTGCTTATGCTTATGAAAAATATTAAGGTACTATTGCTATGTTTGTATGATATTTATTTAAAATGTTAATGAGAATAGGGGAAAGTATATTTTTAGGCTCAAAAAAATTTTTTTACATATTTTGTCAGTATTGAAAAGACATGTGTTTCATGTTAAGTTCCTGAGGTTAAGCCTTGTTTGAGTCCAAATTTGTAGTAGCCTTGATCTTGAATGCAGTGTAACAGTTGTCTCCCCTGTTTATTACATAGAACTGAAATGCTGGAGTGCCTGGGAGACAGTGATTTTCTTGCCAAACTTCACTGTATACGGCAGGCTTTTCAGGTATTATTTTTAAACATTAAGTGACTTTACCCAGCCACTCACCCCACCCTCATGCTATAGAGTCCAGCCGCATATAAACAGGACAGCTCTTTGCTCTTGTTATTGTTATTCCTGATGGCAAATATAAAGTCCACCAAGTTTATGTTTCCTGCCTCCTGTTTCCCTTCATTTGGCTTCATTTGTCATTGTCCTCTCCCATGGCTTCCCAGGTCCACCCCACCTTGTCAAAACAGGATATTTTGATGCTGCAGATGTGTACAAATAGCTGCCTAAAATAAAAATCCTACTTTTTAAAATTACCAATTAGTATGTGTTCTAGATCGTTTTTTATTTGAATCATTTGTAAAATTATTGGTTTCCTAAAATGAAATAATGTCGTTAAACAACAAAATTATCTTTATTTTCTTATGTCTTGGGGCTATGTATCATTTATTTTGGACTTTCTAATATTAAATTGAACAGAATTTAAATTCAGATTTATTTCCCTTTAATCTTTTTTATTATAGGTTTCAAGAACTCATTTTATTTTAGTAAATTAGAGCTTTCTCTGTGGTCTGAAATAGTGCCACATACAATGCATTAACTGCATTAGAGTTATTTGTGCTTAGATGTGCTATACAGTCAAGTGTCCATTCAAATTCATTACAGGTCTCTTTTTTCTTTGTGTGGGGATGGATATTTTTTCAGGTTATTCTTTCAGAAACAGCCAATAGGATATTCCTTGCTGAGAGTGGAAGGAAAATTTTATCAGCGTTAATTGTGAAAGCACGAAAGGTAACTTGTTTTGTTGGCAAGTTATTTTCATAGTTGTTTCTATTGGACTGATGATTAAAATGCATTTATTTTTTAATAGAAAAAACAGTTTTTGTAGATAGTTGCAAAGGTTCACATAAAATAAATAACCCAAAGAGCATAGCTTTCTGCTTGTGCTGAATTGTTTTCTATGTATAAAGCCCACTCTGTTTTGATCCAGTTGTTTCTCATAAATTATTCCCGATTTGCCATAAGATCTATGAATGTCATGGTGAGCATCATCATTAGGTCTGCTAACAATCACCACTATTATTATTTTGAATACCTCTTCTCTTAGCTCCCTTAATTCTGTTCAGTAAGAAGGTTCCAGGAAATAATATAGACCTCAGAAATCTGAAAATGCAAATTGAGCTGCCTCTTCCTCTCACTCATCTTCATGGGACTGGATGAGTCAGAACTAATGAAAAGAACTTCATTAAAACTATAAGGAACCACTCTTCTGTATGCAAGGTGTGTCCAGATGATGAAGAAAACCAAAATAAACAGGCTTTCCTTGAACTGTTTGAATACCCGGCTTTTAGACCCAATCTATTTGAACCTCAATCCCATCATTTGAATAATAAAATTATATTTATGGTACCCTATTTCAGAGGATTCTTATGGTGATTAAATAAGTGATAATTGGGAACGCAAATTTTTTACAAAGTGTAAAATAAATGAAAGATGATATTAACTACTTGCAATTCCCACTGTTAATTTTATGTTGCTTTCTTGGCGTTCCCATGGCAGATAAGTGGTTTGAACTAGAGTTCCTGCTATAAGAGTAGAAGTGCCTCAAAAGCATTAGATGGTATCTTCTATGACCAAGTTTTCACCTTAAGGACTGACCTAAATAAGCGTACATGTTTGAGTATTAGGCACTTTGCTTATGACATTTTACAAATGTTCTCAGTTTTGGCTTCTTCAAAATGTTGGGGCAACAAAATATTAAACCAAATGAATATGGTATACCTTGAAAATTTATTTTAACTCAGTAACCTAATCTAATGAAGACCTAGCAAAAATTGACTTTAAGAGTAACTCATGTGCTTTGCAGGCTTGACCCTTGTTATGAGGTTGAGTTTAGGATTAAAGTGTGTTTTCTTCTGCAGAATCCAAAGAAGTTTGAAGATGTTTTTGATGAAATGATCTATTTTTTAGAACAGACTGATCATTGGGATAGTACTGAAATGGAACTTGCTGCTAAAGGAGTAAGTTCAAATTTTTTTTATATTCCCCTTGGTTATTTACACATAATATTTACATAATTTGAGGCCACTGTTTTTTGTTTTTGTTTTTGTCCTTGTTAAATGATAGTAAAACCAATTGTGTGGTAGTAGTAATGGCAGAGACATAAACAATAGCAACCACAGGCTTTATACATGGGGCAACAATTGAAAAGTATTGTTTTTTAAAAAACCTTTCTCTTCCCTTCCTCCTTCCCTTCCTTCTTCGCTTCCTTCTGAAAGTCAGGAGCAGGCCCTAGCAGGGCAGTAGTGGTGGCCTGTGCTGAGAGGGTTTCAGATGGGCTGCTCACTGGGACCAGGGTTTTGGCTACATATACAGGATCAAACAAACAATATATTGAGAATAATTGGAGCCAGGCTACTTACTGTTGGAGAAGGGAGGTATAAAAAGCTAGGGCTAGACTTGGAGCTAATAGGGTGAATTCATAGTTTATAATAGATATAGATAGATATAGAAATAAATATAAAGGCTTGCATATATATAAACATATGTACTTCCCAGCTCTGTTCACTGAGAGGGTTTGGGAGCAGCTACACCTTAAAAGAAAGGACTCCTCAAGGGCACAGAGATCTTGACTTCTAAGTTCTACTCTCAACTGCAGGAAATTCTGGAAAAATGCTGATCTCAGCACTGGGATAGGGAAAGTACATGATGAGCCTGGAGCATTTTGTTGTAATGGGAGCTTAAAGAATGAGTTTGCAAGGGGTAAAAGGCTTTCTAGGCAGAGAACACAGTAGGTATAGAGACACAGAGGCATAATCTTTCCTTCTCCAGTGTTCCCTCGCTGGGTGAAAGAATTGGCGTCCATTCAGTTGTGCAGGCCAGAGACCTGGGACTCCTCCTTCACACCTCCTTCAGAGACCTGGTCCTCACATACTTTATCGTATTCCTCTCTTGCTTTTTGTCAGTTTCAACTTCTAAATATCTTTCAATTTCTTCAGATTTTCTCTATTCCTGCCAGCTCCATTGTAGTCTGAGTAACTACAGGCTTTCCTGGGCTACCTCAGTCTTCCCTGCCTACTCCTCCCCTCCCTGCATTCACTCTTACTTTTCTCCATTCCACTCTCCACATTGCTGCCAAACGGTCTATATAAAATACAACCTAATCATCCATCTCTCTTCCTCCACTACCCCCTTAAAATACCGTGAAGATGAAATCCAAAATCATCAACATGGGCCATATACTCTGCAGGAGCCGTCCCCTCCTCCTTGTGCCTCTGTGCTCTCTGCTATAGCGAGCCATAGCACACTTGCCGTGATTTTCTTTGACTCAACATCACTGTGTTCCTTCTTACCTCAAAGGCCTTGATAAGGTGTTTTCTGTACCTGGATGCCTCCCTGAAGAAAGCCCTCTGTGACATCCAATCTAGGTTAGAAGCTCCACCATAACCTCTAATAGTACTATGTACTTTTCCTTTACTCTCCTTATCACAGTTATAATTGTGTTTTTGTGGGATTATTTGTTGCTGTTTGTTTTTCCCACTAAACTAAGCATCTGGTTTGCTTACTCTAGAAGTCTGAGCACCCGGTACATTATGCATGAATGAATGAAAGAGCAAGAGGTTCATGATGTTGTGGGCAAGACAGATACACCAATAACTCAGTGACAAAGCAGAATGAGCTTTGTGGATACCACAATGACAGCAGGAACAGAGAGCTCCTAGCACAGAGTGAAAGGAAAGATTAATTTCACTTGATGGGATGGATCTAGGAAGGAACACCTGTCATGTGAAGTGTAATTTCTGGGGTTGAGTTGTTTTCATATTGGTCTCTCCTCTTCCTCTCTTTTTGTCAGAGATATAATCTGATTCAACTAAAAGCACTCAGCTGTTATAAAGTCTGAAGCCCTGACTCAGATTTTATTTAAGATCTATGTAATAATAATAATTTCTGTTTTAACTCATAATTTAATGCAGGTGAAAAATCTAAATTTTTATGATGTTGTTCTGGATTTTATATTAATGGATTCCTTTGAAGATTTAGAAAACCCACCCACATCCATACAGAATGTAGTAAATAATCGCTGGCTAAACTCGTCCTTCAAAGAAACTGTAAGTGGTGTGTTTTTTTTTTCTTTCTTAACCATGTCAATTTAATGAAAAAATGGTCAGAACTGGAAAGATTAATAAGCTTTACATGTATATCACCTATAGAATGACTAGTGTGGACAGTGAGTTCATCCTTTGATATTGGGATCAGATGTGTAGAATATATGTCTTCAGATGAAATTTCCTTTTTGGCTTTTCTATCAGTCCTTGCCTTGACCTGAAATAGCCAATGTTTCTTTAGATCTAAAAATAAAAACAAAAACAAAAATACCTCAAGCTTCAGACTAGTTTGGACCTAACAAAAAATTGTCTGTAACTGTAATGGCGCCATGACTAACCTGAAATATAGCAGTTGCAGTCAAAAGACAATATATATATATATAAAAAGTAAAATATGGGGATTCATGTTCCCAAATACTATAAAATTAGGGGGAGGAGTAGGCATGTGCCCCTCCCTCCAAAAAACAGGTTTTTAAACTGTAATCTATACTTTGACTGTTTTTAGTTTCTGTTGTTTTTCACAATTAAACCTCTATGTGACTTTTTTTTTTTTTTTGGTTGGGCTTTAAGTGTGTACCTGGAAGTAGGTGGAATAGATATTCATGATGAAGTTTGAGCCTTTAACAAAATGTTCCAATGGGCTATGTCACAATTATTTTGCAAGTTTGTATTAAATTTGTATTACATTTTAAAACAGCCCTAGCTGGTTTGGCTCAGTGGATATTGCATCGGCCTGTGGACTGAAGGGTCCTAGGTTTGATTCTGGTCAAGGGCACATACCATGATTGTAGGCTCCATCCCCACCTGGGCTTTGATCGGGGCATGTGCGGGAGGCAACCAATTGATGTGTTTCTCTCACATCGATATTTTTCTCTGTCTTTCCCTCTCACTTCCACTTTCTCTAAAAGTCAATGGAAAAATATCCTCAGATGAGGATTAAAAATTTTTTTTAAATAATTGTAATAAATCCACTTTTCCTTCAAAGTATGTTTTAACCATAAGAGGTACATGTTATCTCCATTTTTAAAACTTCTTTGGTAAACTGACCTTGATTAAAGTTGGGTCATACCAGAGTAGGGTCAGATTTCTTCAGAATCCAAGTTGATGTTTCATCCCTATCATTATGGTTGTATTTCTTAGTTTTTTATTTGGATAAAACTGTAGCTTTACCCACAATTATTTCTAGCAGTGCTATTCTTGAAGAAAAAATCCTTTGTTTTCATTGTTATGCACAAAACACTTATTGTATATATGCATCTGTGTGTATGTATATATATACTAGAGGCCCAGTGCACAAAAATTTGTGCACTTGGGGGCGTCCCTCAGCCCGGCCTGTGCCCTCTTACAGTCTGGGACCCCTCGGGGGATGTCCACTTGCTGGGTTACGCCCACTCCCCGGGGGGATCGGGCCTAAGCTGGCAGTCAGACATCCCTCTGGCAATCTAGGAGCCCTCGGGGGATGTCCACTTGCCAGCGGGGAGCAGGCCTAAGCTGCAGTCGGACATCCTTAGCACTGCTGAGGAGGTGGGAGAGGCTCTTGCCACCACCACTGTGCTGGCAGCCATCAGCCTGGCTTGTGGCAGCGCACTGACCACCAGGGGGCAGCTCCTGCATTGAGCGTCTGCCCCAGGTGGTCAGTGTGTGTCATAGTGACCAGTCATTCCCAGTCGTTCTGCTGTTAGGGTCAATTTGCATATTACCCTTTTATTATATAGGATAGAGAGGCCTGGTGCATGGGTGGGGGCCGACTGGTTTGCCCTGAAGGGTGTCCCGGATCAGCGTGGGGGTCCCACTGGGGTGCCTGGCCAGCCTGGGTGAGGGGCTAGGGCCGTTTTCAGGCTGGCCACACCCCCTTCAGGGTGGGGTTCCCCACTGGGGTGTCTGGCCAGCCTGGGTGAGGGGCTGATGGCTGTTTGCAGGCTGGCCAAGCCCCCCTGCGACCCAAGCTCCCAGCCTCTCCTTTTTTTTTTTTTCTTTTCAGTGCCTCCTTGAGTGGAGGCCAGGGCGGGCTGGAAGCAGGTATCTGGGATTTATTTATCTTCTATAATTGAAACTTTGTAGCCTTGAGCAGAGCCCAGGTCCGGCCAGGGCAAGTGGGAAGCTTGGCTTCCTCCATCGTTGGGGGCAACCCAAGCCTCCTGCTTGCTCCAGCTCCATGGCTGCCGCCATCTTAGTTGGGTTAATTTGCATACTTGCTCCTGATTGGCTGGTGGGCGTGGCTTGTGGGTGTATCGGAGTGGCAGAGTGATGGTTAACACATTGTACGTGGGAAACGTATTTATACGTTTTTTGAATGGCCTGCGCCACCTGTTAGTGCGCGATAAAAACTACCCGCAAACAATGTGTTAATTTGCATATTTCTCTTTTATTAGTGTAGGTATGTGTGTGTGTGTACATATACTAGTATACACACACACACACACACACACACACACACACACACTAGAGTCCCAATGCATGAAATTCATGCAAGAGTAGGCCTTCCTTCCCCCGGCTGCCAGCACCGGCTTCCCGCTGGCACCTGGGACTCACACTTCCCTCACAGCCCTGGCTTCATCCAGAAGGTTGTCGAGTTTAATTAGCATATTATGCTTTTATTATTATAGATATATATATACTAGAGGCCCAGTGCACAAAAATTTGTGCACTCGGTGGGGGGGGGGGGTAGTCCCTCAACCTGGCCTGTGCCCTCTTGCAGTCTGGGACCCCTCGGGGGATGACCACCTGCTGGCTTAGGCCTGCTCCCCGGGGGGTTGGGCCTAAGCTGGCAATCAGACATCCCTCTGGCAGCCCAGGAGCCCTCGGGGGATGTCCACTTGCCAGCAGGGAGCAGACCTAAGCTGTAGTCGGACATCCTTAGCGCTGCTGAGGAGGCAGGAGAGGCTCCCACCACCACCGCTGTACTGGCAGCCATCAGCCTAGCTTGTGGCTGAGCAGAGCTCCCCCATGGGGGAGCTCACTGACCACCAAGGGCAGCTCCTGCATTGAGCATCTGCCCCCTGGTGGTCAGTGTGTGTCATAGTGACCAGTCATTCCCAGTCTTTCTGCTGTTAGGGTCAGTTTGCATATTACCCTTTTACTATATAGGATAGAGGCCTGGTGCACGGGTGGGGGCCGGCTGGTTTGCCCTGAAGAGTGTCCCGGATCAGGGTGGGGGTCCCGCTGGGGTGCCTGGCCAGCCTGGGTGAGGGGATGATGGCTGTTTGCAGCTGGTCACACCCCCTTCAGGGTGGGGGTCCCCACTGGGGTGCCTGGCCAGTCTGGGTGAGGGACTGAGGGCCATTTTCAGGCTGGCCTGCGACTGAAGCTCCTAGCCTCTCCTTTTTTTCTTTTTTTCTTTTTATTCTGGGATTTATTTACCTTCTATAATTGAAACTCTGTTGCCTTCACTGGCACTCCCAGCTCTGAGGCCGCGGCTGGCTGAAAGCAGGTATCTGGGTTTGTTTAGCTTCTATAATTGAAACTTTGTTGCTTTTGGAGCTGTTGCTTTCGGAGCTTAGAGCAGGCCGCAACAGGCGGGGAACCTTGGCTTCCTCCATCACTGGAGCAAGCAAGCCTCCTGCTCGCTTAGCTGCGTGGCTGCCAGCCGCCATCTTTGTTGGCAGTTAATTTGCATATCTTGCTGATTAGCCGATGGGAAGTGTAGCGGAGGTGCGGTTAATTACCCTTTTTGTCTTTTATTAGATAGGATTCTTTTCACATAGGAACAGAACTTAAGAACTCTAAGAGTTGCCCTAACTGGTTTGGCTCAGTGGATAGAGCATCGGCCTGCAGACTGAAAGGTCCCAGGTTCAATTCCAGTCGAGGGCACATGCCCAGATTGCAGGCTCAATTTCCAGTGGGGGTGTGCAGGAGGCAGTCAACCAATGTTTCTCTCTCATCATTGATATTTCTCTCTCCCTCTCCCTCCCTCTCTGAAATCAATAAAAATATATATATAAAAAGAAAGAACTCTGAGAGTTGAATTCTAATTGCCAATGTCATTGGTACTAGAGTTCAGCCTTTTTTCTTTAGAGGCTTTGTATTTAATTGTTAAATATATAAAGACAAAATTTTTATATCAATATTTGCAGACAGTAGAAGGAACTTGGACTAGTTCTTATTAGTAGTTAATGTTTTGGACATTTTAGACCCATCAACTTTGAATTTCTAATTAAAAATCACTCTTTTCTAAATAGAAAGTTTATAATTATGAATTTAAGACTTTTTTTTCATCTCTGCATATATTTAGGCTGTGGCTTCAAGTTGTTGGTCGGTGCTGAAACAGAAAAGGCAACAAATGAAGGTAAAATACCTTGGACTTCTTTGTTGAGTAATTCAAGGCTCCTGTCAAAAAAAATCCGAGACCTTTCTCAAGTGGGAATGGCGCGTCATAAGGACTGTCCTTAAAGCTAGATGAGAGACTTATTGGTACATGGTTGGCTTCTCCTTTTTTGAATTCTTTCTCTCTCTTCCTTAACTTTCTATAGAGTTCAGTATAGCAAGTATTGAGGCTTGCATGGGGTTTCTACTAAGTGGGAGAGGGTTCAGGTTTGGAAACTTCTGATAGAGTTTTGATTTTTGTTTTTTCCACTTAATGATGTTTTAAGTCTTTTAAAATTGTTTAATATACTGATTTCCACTTTATGTAATCCAACTGAGAAATAATGATCTGATTCTAATAGCTCTCTTATTCAAATGAGAGGCTCCACAAAAAAAGTCTCAAAGTTTCTATCCTGCCTCCATGTTGTACACCCTTCAGCCCATCTCGCCCACTGCATGCTGCTCTCACCTTTCGCTCCTGTGGTAAGGGCATGGACGCTGGAGTGAAGCTGCCTGGTTCAAATGCCACTTATCAGCAGCCATGGCCTCGTAAGGTGCTTAACCTCTCTGTGCCTTAGTTTCCTCATCTCTCAAAAAGAGTATACTGCATGGGGTTTTTTAAGATAAAATGTATAGTGCTTACAACAGTGTTTGGCATAGTACATTTTGCAAGTATTGGTTATTATATTATTATTATTTGCATACTTACCTGTAGTTTTTTTTATTATTATATCTATATTTCTCAGTCTTATTCTTGTAACTTTGGGATGGTATTGCCAAGGACAGTGTTTTCAAAACACAGTTCTCACAGCATCTTCAGAAGGGGCTTCTTAAAAATAATTCTGGAGACCCTATTATTTGAGTAATTCTTATTTAAAATGATTCTAGAGACCTGGTGTTTTAAACAAGTTCCCTAAATGATGATTATAAACTGTAATGCTTGAGAACCACTGGGCGAGGGGACAGACTTGTTGACTGGATCTGATTCTCACATAGCCAGTACGATCGATGATGGGCAAGTTGCTATCAGCTGACGTTCAGTTTTCCTGTTTGCAAAATGGAGTTAATGCTGTTTCAAGGGCTGCTGTAAGGATGAAATGAGATTAATTTAAACATAAAATTAAGAGTAAATATTACAAAGATTTTAATAATTGTAGTTTCCATAATTATAATGTTATCATTATATCTCACTTTTTTTTTTTCCTTAGCATGAATCTTGGGCCTTAGTCTTCTTTCTGTATCCACAGAAACCTATCAGGGAACTATTTCCTACACCTGGAATGCCATACTCTAATCCAGGGGTCCTCAAACTACGGCCTGCAGGCCACATGCAAATACAAATATTGTATTTGTTCCCGTTTTGTTTTTTTTACTTCAAAATAAGATATGTGCAGTGTGCATAGGAATTTGTTCATAGTTTTTTTAAAACTATAGTCCGGCCCTCCAAGGGTCTGAGGGACCGTGAACTGGCCCCCTGTTTAAAAAGTTTGAGGACCCCTGCCTAATCTATGTACTTAAATCTTACCTGCTGTTGAGTTCAGTTCAACAATTATTCCTTGGGGAAGCATGTCCCTTTTAATTTACTTCAGCCCATGCTAACTGTCTAAAAGCCTAATACATTTTAGAGTCTGTATGGGGTTTAGAATTTTAATTTATGCAGAACATCTTATGCTATAGTAATAACTTCAGTGCATCCCTCATAACGTTTTGGCCTTCATTAGCGAGCTATGTGTGATTTAGGACAGGTTATTTAATCTCTCTGAAGTATCACGTTTTACATATTAAAGTGTTTACATGACCTACTTTTTCAGGAACGTTTTATTAAATTAACTAGAATCTAGCACATTATCTGGAATATAATGAGTACTCATTAAATGGTAATTGCTGCTATAATATGTTTCTTAAATTGAGGTTTAGAAGATGTCCTATAGCCTGTAAAATAGAAAATAACCCCACCAGGAGGCAGAATCTTAAGGCATAGTTTTCCCCGTAGATGCTATGACAAATCCATAGGACCTTATTTAACCAGGGACATTCAGCAAGTTATTAATAAACTTAGAGAGTTTCCTAAATCACTACTGTATGTTTTACTATTTCACAAGAAGAGGCAATTACACAATTAAATGCTTCAATAATAGCTGGTTCCTTAATGAAAAGTTAGGATTCTAGTGAGCACTATTTTGTACTTAATCATTTAAAATTTGTTTTAGTCTTTTTCAGATAATCTAATTAAGTGATTGAGTAGAATTTTTTAATAGCTGAAACCCTGGCGGTCTCATTAATCCTGAAAGTTATACTGCTAAGGAACATTGTGCCATTTTTGTTTTTATTTGGTTACAACACTGATGATTGCTTTTTTATGAAGTGAAAATGCCTTTAAGAAATTCTGTTTCTCAGCATATTTGAAACTATTGGCTAGGTTATGAAGTTCACAGAAAATATTCTGTGACTAAAAGTTACTTGTAAGTTTATTTTCTTATTAGGCTGGCTCATCATTGATCCTTGGTTTCCCCTCAAAAGATTTTGGATAGCAATTTAGGTTTCTAAAGAGAAAGCAGATTCAAAAAGGTAAAAATTACTCGATTTTCTTTTACTTCCCAACAGATCCCGGATGGATTTTTTGCTCATTTCTATGCCATTTGTGAGCACATCAGCCCTGTCCTAGCCTGGGGCTTTTTGGGCCCTAGAAATTCTCTCTATGATTTATGTTGCTTCTTTAAGGTATGTCCAGTCATTGAACCATTTCTTTTTTCTAAATAAAAAATCCGATAAGGTATATTCTGTTTGGTTTGTTTGTTTGCATTTGTAGAAGAGAGAATGTTATTTAAAGGTGAAGTTATAAAAGTCACCTAAATTCAGTGTTTAAGTGCCGGTAGATCAGTACTATACAGTTATGGTGCTTTTTCCTGGAGTAGATGCAAGTCCATCACCTTGTTGGTTCCCTCTGTGATAGATGCACGATCTTGGCTGGAGTCATGATGTTATAGTCAAATTGCTGAAGACAGCTTGTTCTTCATACCTGAATGCTTTTGAAATTTATAAAGTAAATAAATTTTTTTTATTGCTCATGTGGCAATTTAGAAAGTTCTGGTTCAAGGTAATATGAATGACAAAATCCAAGTTGTGAGAAATAACATGAGAGTTTAAAGTTGTATCCCAACATCAGCAGTTTAAGTTTGCCAAAAAACCATTTATATAGCTCATTGCAGAAGTTTCTGCATGGCACAGTGCCAAGAAAAGTCTCACTATTTTAATAGCCTTCAGTTGAGGCTGAATTTCAAGGAACAAATAAAAAAGTAAATATAACAAGTATGATTTGGAAAGTTTTTGATGTTTGAAAGTTTGGATGTTTCACTATACCCTTCATTAAAAAAATAAAATTATGTTTATGTGCTCTTAATATAGCATTTATGTAAATGATTTAGGAAATGTTTATTTTACTATCATTTAAAACTCATTATTTTTTGACAAGTTTACTCGACCTCCCAAATGTAAGGTAAGGTATGTGTTTAGTGGGAAAAATCTGGACTGGGAATTAAGTCTGTCATTAATGAACAGTCTGACTCTGGGAAAATCATGCCTTGTCCTCCTTTTCTTCATTAAAATCAGGGAGCTTGACAGATCAATTGCTAATGAGCCTTCTAGTTATAGCATCGGGTGATTCTAAGAGGTGTGCCTTCTTAGTACTTCTTTTTTTTTCTTAAATATTTTTTTTTATTGATTTCAGAGAGGAAGGAGAGAGAAACATCAGTGATGAGAGAGAATCACTAATCGGCTGCCTCCTCCACGCCCCACACTGGGGATCGAGCCCACAACCCGGGCATGTACCCTGACTGGAATCAAACCATGATCATAGGTCATAGGTCAATGCTCAACCACTGAGCCACACCAGCCCGCTGGGCTTCTTAGTATTTTGTAACATTTGCTTTCTGTAGGATAGAAATTAAATATTCCTGTTTTTACTCTTTGGAATTACTTTTATTTTCATGTTGGCATAATAGCCTGAAACTTAATACTTAGTAGTATACAACTTGCTTAAAATGAATTTCAGCATAAATATTTATTTACTGCAATGAAATATTTTTATTATTTAAAAATCTTTATTGTTAAAAGTACTACATATGTCCTCTTTTCTCCCCCCTACCCGTTACCTCCTTACTAGGCCACCCCCAGCCTTCACCACACTATTGTCTGTGTCCATGGGTTATGTATATATGCATAGAAGTTCTTTGATTGATCTCTTCCCACCCACCCTTCCACCCCTGCCTTCCCTCTGATATTCCACAGTCTGTTCCATGCTTCTGAAATTATTTTTATTTTGCATGTATCCTGTTTTTTTATGTACAGAAGAATATACATTTAAAACTTATATGTTATAATTATTGGAAATAGTTTACTCTGAAGTAGTACCAGTGCTCATAGGTAACATTGGAAACTCCAGTTACTGGAAAAGGACTAATAATAGCCCCTCACCTTTATGCAGTGCTTTAGGGTTTACAGGCATTTTCTACTGATTGTTTTTTATCATAACATCAATCTTGAGTGGTAAAAAAAAAAAAAGGACACTAAGTATTGCCCCTTATTTTACAGTAAAAGAAAATGAGACCCAAAGAGGTCTAGTCACTTGTTCAGTGACCCCTTTCCAATGAGATATGAAACTAGCACTGGAACTCAGGCCTTCTGACTCCTAATGCAATGCATGTGACAACATTAGTGACTATTTAGAGGTAATATAATTTTGGTCTAGTAAGTGCCAATTTGTTTGTGTTTATTTTCCAGAATCAGGTTCTTTTCTTTCTCAAAGACATTTTTGACTTTGAGAAAGTACGCTATTCCAGCATCGAGACCTTGGCCGAAGACCTCCTGCAGTTACTTATTCGCCGCACTGAACTTCTGATGGCCTATCTTGGAGCCGATGCGCTGAGGCATACAAGCAGTTGTATCAGTAGTCACGGTCAGGTTATGTCCACTGGCCTGGTGGAAGCCAAAGTTCAATAAGTCTCTTAAAATCAGACAGTTTGGGTGTGCTATGAAATGTCTTAAGATAACTGTTGATTCTGTAACATATATTACACAGAATTGGTGGATATGGTCTCAGGGAGGGAGAGAAATCTAGTAAAGAATGAGTGACCGTACTGTACTTACACAGAAGTCCTGGCATTGAATCCCTGTGTAGTGTATCCAAAGCAGCTTTTCAGTCTTTAGATAATAATTTAAGTCATGAAACGTTGCATATTACACAGCATATTTTGCTTGAATTGAAGCCAGTACTTGGGAGTTAATTGATTTGTCGTCTTGAAGCTGTCTGAAATGTCTAGTCTCATTCTCAAAAGCTCCATTTTTATGCTTTGCACCTTGAAATCACACACTTTAGCTAAGACCTAAGTGGCCTGCACATACAAGAATATATTACTCCTAGTGTCCACAAACTTCACTTTTGCCTGAAAATGTATTTTTAATTGTAAAGTTGTTCATTTGTTTAATCAAGTTTAGACAGTAGTGGTGTTTAATATGTACTGCTTACATTATTGCTTGTGCATTTGCTTATGTATTTAAATCAAAGAAATTGTAATGACTATCATTATAAAGCATTTAAATGAATTGACACTGAGAAGTTTATGTTATAAGTTTATATTAGATTTACTGCAGTTTCCAAAATACATTGTTGCACCTATAAGTTAAAATAGAGAGATTAAGAAATTTATGTTTATAGATTAGAGCATTTTTCTCTTCAATGAATATTGATTAAAAAGGTAACAGTTATTAACTATAACAGGCAATTAAATTTGTTTCTGTGTAGTTTTGAGACTATCTCCCAACACCTGAAGTTATTAATCTTAATACAGTAAAGTCATTTCTCCTTTCTCCTTCTCTAAAACTGGTTTTTAGTTGTTCTCACAGAGAACTTAGCAAATACGTCCATATTTTTAAAATCTTATTCATAGTTTGAATCTTAGTGCAGTTTTAAAGAAGGGTTTTTCCCCCTGTGAATATAGAACAAAATATTTTTAATGGTATAGAAGTATGTTTCATGTCCTTTATGATGAATGTATGAACAAACGGGTTGTTCATATAAGTAAAGTTCTTTAAAAGTATACCACTTATTTGGAGTGGCTGACTCAGTATATAAATGGATTAGATTTGTTGATTTTGTTTTTAAAGTAGGCTTTATTCATTTTAGCGAGTTACCCAGAAGGACTTAAATATATTTTTTTAGAATGCATTTTTAGATTAAAGTGCCTAGTTTCTGATTAAAGAATAGAAAATGAAAAGTGGGGTGGGGAGCATAATCTTTTAAGGTTTTAAATCTGTGTATGTGCCATGTTTGGGTAACAGTAGTTACAGAATATGAGATTCAGCATTTTCATTCTGTTTGCATGTACTATGCTGTATAATGTACAGGTTATAGCATTAAAAAATATGAAATATTGCTCTAATAATTTTTTTAGTATATAGCTCCTTGACTTTTCTTACATATATTCTTAATTTAAGAATTTGCTATTTATAATCTGGATTATTGATGGAGGAGTATGATTAGAAGCATTAAAGCGAAAATTACATTATGCAATGTTTTACTTTTTAATTTATATCTTGTATTTTTAGCTTCTTGTTGAGATATCACTGGCCTTGAATGATTCACACACATACACACATATGTGTGCGCACACATTCCCATTATCGTGTAGGCAAAACAGTTATTACTTATATTAGTTTTCCTGTTTGGGGAGCTAAATGTACTCTTTTATTTGAGGAAGATTTTGTTTGAAAACTATTTTGAAGAATTGCACTATTTAATAATGCTGCTACTACATAAGATAATTGAGTAATTTATTTCATCAGGTAAGATGAGTGGCTTTCCAAAAGGTATTTTTTTTCTTTTTCACTTTTATATTTCACCTTTAAAAAAAAAAAGTTGCCCAGCCTTGGCCAGTTTGGCTTAGTGGATAGAGTGTCAGCCTGAGGACCGAAGGGTCCCAGGTTCGATTCTGGTCAAGGGCACATGCCCAGGTTGCAGGCTCGATCCCCAGTGCGGGGTGTGCAGGAGGCAGCTGATCAATGATTCTCTCTTATCGATGTTTCTGTCTCGCCCTCTGCCTTCCCCTCTGAAATCAATAAAATATTATATATATATATATATATATATATATATATATATATATGCATTTTTTTTAAAGCTTGTCCATATTCAAGAGGTTGATTTGTCTAATTAAGAGCTTCCATTTAATTAGTTTTTGGTCAGTTCAGTAGCTACTAATTGAGTAAGATTCTTTCTTTGTGGCCTTTAACAAAAGAGTCAGGAGTGACCAAATAGAATTTCAGGGTAATGCGTATAGGAAAAAAACTCTATTGTAAGAGAAGAAACTTGACCTTTTAAAAGAAACATCTCTTGAAATTGTTTTAACTCTTTAGGTAATAATTTAAGTCATGAAATGTTGACTTAAGTTATTGACCACAGAAGAGTACTTAAGACATATGCATCAATTTCAGTTTGCCTTGACATTGGCTTAAACAGTTAATGTTTTTAAAAATAAAAATAGATTTACACTAGTTTAAAATCTTTTAGGATGAACTCTGTTTAACATTTACTCACGGTAGCATTATCAGGAAATTGCCATCACCAGAGGAGTCCTACCACCCACTTCCCCATGTAAATTATGAAGACCTTGAATTAGTCCTGAGAAAATGGATTCTTTTCCCTTGTGTTTTCTGAAAGACAAAAGATAAATGTTCAGGTGATTTATACTTGGTAATTTTTTTTTTCTGTTTTGGAATCTCTACATTTTTTCTTTAACTAAAAGACTAGTTATTTTTTTCTCTAAGACTTACAATATGATTGTTAAATGTCAAAATAAGATTATCTTTTTAAAAAGAAGCTGTTTTTCATACTGTGATAGTCAACTACAAAGAACTTTCATAAAGTAGTATTCTTTATTTGCAATTATTTACTATGATTAGAATAATTTGTTGAATTAGCTGACTATAAAAAATATTTACAACTTTTTCTTGCCTTGAGATGTAACATTTTCTACGTAAATGATTACCTGAGGAATGATTATTTGCATTACAAAAGAATACTTTGTCATTCTTTTAAACACATGAAATAGAAATGCCAAAGTAACATTTTAACATACTTCTCTGTGACATTTCAGAATCAGAAATTTTAAATTATGTTTGTAACATAATTTGCTTTTATTGTAATGTGAGCACTTTGGAAATTATTTGGAATATACATTTCAAAGTGATTATACGAATTAGGCTAAATTCAAAATTTTGGTTATTTGTTTAATCAAATTTAGAAATATCTCTGTATGTGAGACATAGGAATTTGTATAATCTGTGATTAATGGAAATAAGGATATTCTTTTTTTTGTTCCTAGTGATTATATTATGTTATTGTTTTGCTTAGTTTGAGAACAACCATGTATTAGCTTTACTTGGCTGATATGAGTAAATGTGTCTATTTCCTAAATGTAAGGACTGCACTAACTAATTTATGTAAAAGTGAAACACTACAGTAGCAGAAAAATAGCACTGGCTCTTTAGCCAAAATAAGCACTATAACATGGATGTATTCCTACTGCTGCCAAATAAAAAAGTGATGGTATATCTTGCTGATGTATTGAATATTTGATACAATACTTATATGTTTGCAAGGTCACACTTGTTGCACTTTCAGTCTCCATAAGATCTCACATATACAGGCATAGAAAACACAGACAGTCCAGCTGGCGTGGCTCAGTGGTTGAGTGTCAACCTATGAACCATGAGGTCATGGTTAGATTCCCCATCAGGGCTTGATCCCCACTGTGGGGCCTGCAGGAGGCAGCCGATCAATGATTCTCTCTCATCATTGATGTTTCTATCTCTCTCCCTTTCCCTTTCTCTCTGAAATCAATAAAAAATATATTAAGAGAACTGTAGAAGCACTGAAATCAAGTGTCCACATTTTCTTATGTCCTAACTGTGAGAAAAGATAGTTTTGTAATGAATGAAGTCAAAGTACTTGTAGTATTTTAATTAATAATTTAAAGTGATCTGATTAATAGTGCCATTCCAACACAATACAGATTTATCCTATTGATGTGCATGCATCCATCCCTATTCAGACATCTCCCTTTCCCACTACTTTTTAGTATTGAGACATTTAGTTAAGGAGAGGGTGTACAATGTTTCTCTCATCGATGTTTCACTCTCCCTTCCTCCCTGAAATCAATAAAAACATATTTTTTAAAAGTTTATTTTAGGATAATTAAATACATACAGTATAGATAAATGTATGTAGTTATATTTTAAACTATTAAATTAAACTGAGTATAATTTAACAGGCAAACCATACAAATATGAGTGGACTCTCTTCCTAGCTAGGGTATTGTGTTGGAAATAGAATGAGAAACCAGATCAGAATCTCAATCTCATCTTCTGGGTTTTTTTTTTTTAATATATTTTATTGATTTTTTACAGAGAGGAAGGGAGAGGGATAGAGAGCTAGAAACATCGATGAGAGAGAAACATCGATCAGCTGCCTCCTGCACGCCCCCCAGTGGGGATGTGCCCGCAACCAAGGTACATGCCCTTGACCGGAATCGAACCCGTGACCCTTGAGTCCGCAGGCTGACGCTCTATCCACTGAGCCATACCGGTTCGGCTTTTTTTGTTTTGTTTTTTTTTGTTTTTTTTGTCATCTGCCATACACTGTTGTCTCATGCCATCCTCTCTGTTTATTTAAAATATTTCTCTACAAGCATCTCAGTGTCCTATTACACTATTTCTAGGGATTTGCTGGAAATTTTTGTAAACTCGGTTTATCCACTTTCATTCTTATAGTTCCTATGCTGCTTTTGACTTCTATTTTTTATGTAGTGTTTCTTTCTATACCCTGTATTCTGTAATCCACCCTGCCACTTCTCCTTTAATCTCTCCTATGCTACTGACACCAGCCACACAGCTTTTGCTGAGGTCCTTTTTTTCCTACACCTGAACAGTGAAAAACCTTAGGTATCTTTCATCATTTGAGCAGGAAAGGACTGATTTCAGTACAGAAAAAAAAGCAAACTTTTCTTCTGTGTGACACTTTTTATTTTTTACTTGAAAGCCACAGCAAAGTAACTGGTACATCAAAAACCACCTCAGTGTTTTGCTCTGAACTCTTCTCTCATGTGTTTTGCAAAGCCTTTCACAATGTACATTTATATTTAGGAAATTCTAGAACTTTTATAATTTGCTATGTTTGAAATAATACTTGAATATAGAGAAGCACTTTGACATTTGAAAGCACTTGAACGATATGATTTCCAGAACTTTGCTAATTACTTAGTAACATTCTGTGAGAGAATAGGCCCTGGGATTTTAAAGAGGACTGAGCGCTTAATGTGATAGAAGATAAATAATTTTCAAAGTAGGTTAAAGCAGGGGTATTGGTTATCTATTGCTGCATAACAAACTATCCTAAAATTTAGCAGCTTAAAACAACAAACATAATCTCACACAGTTTCTGAGGGTTGGAAATCCAGGCATGGCTGGTTTGGGTGGTTCTAGCAGAGGGTCTCTCCTGAGATTAGTTATCTGAAGGTTTGACTAGGGCTGGAGGATTTGAGTCCAGGATTGGCTCAATCGTGTGGCTGTTGTCAGGGACCTTTAAGCCCTTGACACCTGAGCCTCTTAACAGTTGCCTGAATATCTTTAAAACATGGCAGCTTGCTTTCCTCAGGGTGAATAACTCAAGAAATAGCAAGATAGATAAAAGACAGTGTCTCTTATAACCTTGACTTGGAAGTGACATACCACCACTTGTGCCGAATTCTATCACAGACCATCTCTGACAGTGTGAGAGGACATTACAAAGGATGTGAAGATTAGGTGGCAGGATCATTTGGGGTCATCTTGATGGCTGGATACCACAGCCAGAAATCATCATAAATTACACATAGAAAGTGTAGATATTTTGATTTTAAAGGAATAACTGTGCGTTCTTTGGCTAATCTTTTGATGTAGGGTCAAGATCTTTACTTGGAATATGGATTCACTTGGTATTCTGAGATAACTTTGTTGCAAAAACTACATCTGTAAATCATCACCTGGGATTTCCAGTTTCCCTTACTTTTAAAGGAGAAAAATGTTACCTGAAAGCAATGAGTGTCGATTCCCCTTGATTTTAATAATTTTGTACCTGATCTAACTCTCTTTGCTTTTATATTTCTTTTTGTAATGTTTATGTAATTTCAATAACATGCAACTGATATAACCAAGTTTGAGAACAAAACCAACAAATTCATGATAAATGTGTTTTTACAAATTGGCAGATCTTGGGTTTCTAAATGTGTTCTCAAACTTAGCATGTTCAAAACAGAGCTCCTGGCCACACCTGCCTCAGCCTCCTCCTCCCAATCTTTCTCATCCCAGGAAATGACAATTTCATTCTTCCAGATCCCCAGGCCACAAAGGTCTTTTCCACACCTCATATTCAATGTTACCAAAATCCTACTAGTTCTACTTTTAAAAAAATGTACCAAGAAAAAAAATGTGCCAAGCATTTCTCAACTATCACTGTGGCCCAAACTCCCAT